TTGTAGCATAGACAAACTGATGTTAGAAAATTTATTACAAGCTATATTTCCAAAAAGAAAAATGCACAGACATGCTTTAACGTCCTCGTTCATATACGCTGCGTCTAGCGTAAATCCATGTTTTTTCTCAAACTTTCAGAATGACGTCATGAGCTAATTGATACGACAATGAAATTAATAGGTTACAGCTAAAGGACATGGCTCTTAACGAGATTACCAAGCCCCTTTAGGTTGTATATAGGGGTTCGGCAAATGGTTTGTAGACTTATATAGACCATTGATCGGGAAAGTGGCTTGTTCTGTGTTTCAGTTAGTTTTTGCCTTAATGCGGAACTGAGCTAATGATGACGCTTCTTTGATGGCTTTATGGGAAGAACACGCTGGCTTAATCTTTAAACTGGAAATGTATGTACTTGTTATTACCAAGGCATGTAAAATATATCCGCAATGAGTACATTTAAATAGAAATTATTTTAAATTGTGATGGAGCACGGAAATGTATCAAATCCTGCAGGGAACATCTCTCAATTTATCGTTAGCAATGTTTCCTCCTGTCATATCTATCGATTGCCGAAGTTGACAATTAGAGATCTTTATTGGTTGGTTTTAATATCAGCTTCCTTAGTACACTGAAATAAACATAAAATGTGTGTTCCTTACGTCCTCAAGACGACTACGTTCATATGACGACGATATCCGCTGAATGTGCAACGCTCATCCTGAAATGCCAACAATTGGAAATGTCAGTTGCATATTCCACATCTCTCGTGCATTGATTCGCTTTTAAGCAACTATTTAATGAGTAATTCGGTAAAGTTTATCATTCATATGATACTTCATTACTTTAGCCTAGGTATTGAAGGAAACACAATCTTAATTGTTTTATGTTTTTTTTTATCTTCAAATACTAATAAAAAAAAATATTACCACTCTAATTTTATATAACTAAAATAATTATTTACCGGGTATTTTTCACAAGTATTAATCAGGTTTCTCTGTTTATATGTATCACTATCAGTCCGGATGGTAGCTTTCAGGGATGTTTACGTGGGAAGGGTACCGGAAGGAAAACCCACGTAGTCGGGCAGGTAACCAATACACTTTTTCATAACTGATCTGGTAATCGAACCCAAACTTTTTTATGAAAGGCGAGTGAGTTATCAGTTGCGCCTCCTGACTTTATATGACGTCATTGTCAGTTTTTCTTGTCATAAAGATGATTTTAATTCCATATGTTACTTTTATAAGATATTTTAATGTTGACCTTGGACAATTAGACAGATAAGAAAAATTATGTATCCCTTGGAAAATTCTGTATTATTGAGAAATCGCCGAAGACAGATCTGACACAGACAACAGAGCTTGGTATTTTTACCACTGACAATATTCTGTCGTGTTATTATGAGTGTCTACCAGCGAAGAAGAAAACGACATATCAGACATAAAACGTCTCGGGTAGCAGATCAATGATGGCCGCTTTGGTAATACTATTACTAGAAATCGTGAATAATGTCAATAATAAATAGGAATCTTATATAAGACCCCTCCTATAATGTTATCTATCATACCTCACCTTTTTAGTGTCTGATTTGATGTAATTCATTACATGACGGGGCAATACATTATCATGTCCCTCACGCGCTCGAGTCTCCCAGTCCTATTTCCCTCACTCGGAACCTCTTTAAAACAAATGGGCAAGGCCACCACAACCGAGTTCCGAATGACTGAAACAGACGACATTAATGGCGCGTCAACCTAGTCATCTTTACTGATGAACTATTTTTTATTTCGGCATGATAATATGTATTGCCCTTGTGGTAGGAAATAACGATTCTTTGTTTCCCTTCGATTATTTTCCCTCGTGAAAGAAGATTAATCTGGGAGAAACAAAGAGTCGTGTTACCCTACCACAAGGACAATTCGTGTGTATTGACGCGAAATGGGACGACCATTTACCCTCTAATATCATCCAAGCTACAAGGAGAATGTCTGGACAGACGAACTTCTTGAATAAGAGCTGTTTTTGAAATGGAAACGCAACGGCATCTAATTTGTCAGCATGGAGTAGAAAACTGTAACAATCAAAGACTCATTTCTCAAATAGTTCTAAAAACGAATTAGTTAATCATCCTATTTTTTCTTTAATTAAGTTGTGCGCGAGATGGATGTCCGAAGCCGGTTAGAGACAACCTGTTATTGTGAGAGCTTTGGCTGTGCAATAAAGGTCGAATTAGATTATCTTTTTACTTCTTTTTTTGTGTAATTTTGAAAAATGACCTTCTTTTAGACGAGAACATTGTAGGAAAAACTAGCTAATGAATTGGTGGGCAGGGAGAGAATGTCATTAGGTAAAACACGCTGAAACTCCATATCGTAATTACATTGTGCTTAATATATATTTTTGCAATTCCCATTATTGAAATTAAGGTTCTCGTATCATCAGCAGATAATTCGCCACTTGTCCATCGGCTGCTAACACTTACAAAATCCAAGACCTTGTTTTAGGAAATCGTTTAACAACCCACTCTGGCATTTATTCAGCGAGTAATGCCAATCCTGTATTTTATAATATCACTGAAGATATCCGTAATATACGTGTATTTTTTTACGATAACTTGCATATCATTTGTTGTTTTTTGTTTTTGTGACTGTTGCATTGTTTTACGGCGCTTATCGACAATTGGATTGATTTAAGGTTAAACAACATTAAATATAGACGTTCACGAAAGAGAATACGTCAATCTGAATAAAACAAACCTAAATGTTTAAAAAGAAATGCAACCCCGATACAAAAAGCACACGAATAAGTCGTAAAGTATGACACATATTTTATTGTACAAATTACCTGAATATAATTATATTACACACATGAGGTTATTCTACACTGGCATCATCAAAATTATAGCCAAAGGATTGGGTGTGATGGAAGATATGTCGGCTTTGTGATTTACAGAACATTAGATTTTAGATGATATATTGAATTGCTTTAACGTTCATTTATTAATAATGTTAAAATTGATTTACGTGCATACATGTACAACGTACTCATGAACATTGATGTATCGCTAATTATCTTTTGAAAGTTGCAGCAATATGTTCGTCGTGTTTCAATACATACTACCTGTTATTGCTATACATCGTCACTGTATTTACTTGATAATAAACCACACACGTCATCCCAGATACTGAACAGGGAACGAATCAATCATGGCATTACATTAATAGGGTTTACATAGATCTTAGATGATGATAACTTTAATTAGTGTATATTTAGAATCCTTAACAAGGAGTGCCTAGTCACGAAACGCCTGATAATATCGGTTGCTAAAAATATCTGGTTCTTTCAACATGATATCGAGGCCTGATAATGGTGCTTTTTAATGATACCATCTCACAAAAATAAATCGGCCGTTTTTCGATTTGGAGTCGTTTTCAGTGTCTGATCGGATTGGATTTTAATGCACTTAAACAGAACTTCAATACAAATCTGGTTCCAAATCAATGACGTGATTGATTGATGCTATCATTATGCTTTACAGTACTGTTTACATTGCTGTTAAACCAACGTTTACTTAAATAAATAAATAGAAGAGCGAGCTATCAAATATCTGGTATAACTATAACCTTTAAACATTTAACGACGCCTTTCATCATGGAAGTGTTCCTCGCACGATTTAACGTACGGGTGGTCAATGGTTGTTTTGTTGAAGGTTTCCGTCTATATATGAGATGAAGTCACGATGTCCACAAAAGTTCCTCAATGGCTATCTTGAAAACTAAAGGCCTACTAAATGTGCCAGGAACGACCCAAAGTATAAAATACAGGGAGATACAACAGGTTAACATACAGATTTAAATGTAGTTGATAAACTGGTCCAAAGGCAGCAGGTACGCACACATGTTTCAAAGTAGCAGGTCAACACACAGGTCTGAAGGCAGCGGGTCCAACCACAGGTCTGAGGGTAGTAGGTCCAACCACAGGTCTGAGGGTAGTAGGTCCAACCACAGGTCTGAGGGTAGTAGGTCCAACACACAGGTCTGAGGGTAGTAGGTCCAACCACAGGTCTGAGGGTAGTAGGCCAGACACAGGTCTGAGGGTAGTAGGCCAGACACAAATATGATGGCAGCGGGTCCACACACAGGTCTGATGGCAGAAGGTCCACACACAGGTCTGAGGACAGTAGGTCCACACAGGTCTTAGGGCAGTAGGTCCACACACAAGTCTGAGGGCAGCATGTCCACACACAGGTCTGAGGACAGTAGGTCCACACAGGTCTTAGAACAGTAGGTCCACACACAAGTCTGAGGGCAGCATGTCCACACACAACCCTGAGGGTAGCAGGTCCGCACATAGGTCTGGGACAGCGTGTTTACACACAAGTCTAAAAGCAGCATGTCAACACACAGGTCTGAGTGCAGTAGGTCCACACACAAGTCTGAGACCAGTAGGTCCACACACAAGTCTGAGGCCAGTAGGTCCACACACAAGTCTGAGGGCAGTAGGTCCACACACAGGTCTGAGGGCAGTAGGTCCACACACAAGTCTGAGGGCAGCAGGTTCGTACATAGGTCTGGGACAGCGTGTATACACACAAGTCTAAAAGCAGCAGTTCAACACACGGGTCTGACGGCATCGGCTACAAAACATCGTCTAAGGGAAACAGTTCCACACAAATGTTTGAGGATAGCAGGTCTATGCAAAGTTCTGAGGGTAGCAAGTCTACGGAAGTCTGAGGACAGAAGTCCGTGTATTTAGTCACGAAAGACAGTAAAATGGGCGAAACCATCTAGAACTATTCCTAAGTAAAGTGATTTTGTTCGCCATATCGTCTATCAGTCTATTGCCATGTCGAACTTATGAGGCAACTCTCATATATCAAGATATCCTGAACGGTATTTTTCTTCTTAATTGTTATCTTGGTAATAAAATCATTTTTGTATCAACACTTTCGTATTAAAGAAGCATTTTCTTTAAAACTGTTCAAATGACAAGTTAAGCACAGAGTAATTGTTAATCAAACAAAAATCAATATTAAGTACAAAAGAGGAAAAAGATGTTTATTTTTTGTTCTCATTAATGCTTGAAAATCATAATTATAATGTACTATCCTCTTCCAGCCCATCACCTATTGCCTAATTGAATCCTATGGAACTTGTAGTCATATTCCATGTTAAACAGATACACTTTTCTCGGTTACATTCGACCCACACACTATATTTATCAACCAATGATTCATTCGGTATCATTTGACCACCGTTTTATCAGTTCTATGAACATATCTATTTTAACTGTCCTCCTTTGCCGATCGTTTTGGTATTTTGTACCTGAATATTTTGACAGTTCCGTCCTGATAACCTGTCCACACTTGGCCCGTTGGTTCTACACCCACGCGCCTGGGCTCCAGCGCGCACGTGGTCAGTATCCGGGTACTGCTGCCATGGCGATCGGTTAATATCAAAGCCTTGTTACCGGAGTCCGCTATCACGATGTTGTCATGTTTGTCGAAGCAGATGTCACTCGGTACGAACGACCCTCCCGTCTTTTTTTCAGCATATGAAGTCGGAAATTCATATCCCCCAAATCGACATAGAACTTGCAAATTCCGATCTATAACTACTACGTGACGTGGACAGGAACTCTCTATCACGGCAACGTCTCCATTGGTCGTGTTCACTCTGACGCTTGTCGGCGAGTGGAACAGACGCTTTCCCTCGCAGTCGTGGTCAATCGTGCGCAGTGCTCGGCCGCTCTGGTTGTATTTGACCAGCATGCCATCGTGATAGTGCGAAACGAGTATGCAGCCTGCATCACGTGACTCGCACAAACTTGTGGCATAATGGCGTGTCCGAAACATGACGTCACAGTGACCATTGCTATGGTGAACCTGACGAATGGACTGGTCCGAACAGCAAACAAGTGTTTTCGTCTTGTCCGCGGTGGTGATCAAATCATTTATGTAGATGTATTTATCTAGAGTTATAGACCGTCTCGGGTCAAACTCTCCTGCGTGGTCAACTAATCTTGCCTCGGTACTGCTGGCACACACCATCCAAGAACGTCCGTCAAAACCAGGAAACACCGACTCGATCTCGCGGTCGACAGAAAACCGGAAAGTGGCCATGACCTTGACATTGTAAAGCTCAGTTGCACGCAATATAGGTATCATGTTGCCAAGGAAATGATTTGTACTGTCTACCACCGACGAGTCTTCCAGTACCCACACCTTAGATTGAATTGATCCTATGAAATGTTCCGCCGACATCGACTCGCTAGATCGCTGAGACGGAGAGAAACTTTGGGCCTGTAGGTCGGGAAGTCTATCAAACGGCCGATCGATCTCCAGCTTAAGTCTTCCCCTCAGTTGCTTTGATCCTGTTTTCATCCCGGAAGAAAATGCTGTCTGTGATTTCGTGATTATTGCTTTTATATCGGACATGGTCTCCTGTAGTTTGTCCTCTGACTCCTGGAGAAGTGTCTGGTTTGTTGTTCTGATAGACTTACATTGTAAGACGAGGTGTGCACATGTCTCGTCAACTTCTCGCTTCATTAGCTCCCCCTGGCGATGAATGTCACTAATGGCGAGAACTGATAATTTTTCGTTTTGCTCTTTGAGTTCCTTTAGTTGGTCAATTCTGTTAAAATGAAATAAACAAACTTTATGTATCTATAATTTAGGAGATTTGTTAATTGGTTTATACATACTGATAAAGCCAAATCTATCTTTGTAACGTTTGATTGTATAAGTACGATATTGATTGCACGTTGCGTGCTACTGCGATTAAGTTGGTTGGTCACCATTATTAGGAACATTTCCTTTTGAGTATTACTGCAGGACAAATAGATCTGTATTCATTTACACACGAGTTAAAGCCAATTTTACAATAGGATTGTTGTTTTACATTTAATAAATTTTCGCAAAAGGATTGGCATATTACATTTAATTAAATCATGGTTTCATTCGGTATGTGTAACTACTTTTTCCACATAGAAAAAGATGCGATTTGTGGCTTAATATGAATTTTTACATTGTGTTGTAATAACACCAAACCTTTCGGAAGTACGTAACATTTCATGTAATCCTAATACTTTTGTGTTAGCTGTGCATCATGGAACGCTATTTTTACGTGAATGCTATAAGAATTATGCGCAAGAAACCCCGAAGTGTACCGTGTCAACAAAGCCATACTTCGAACTGAAATTAATAAAACTAGGGGCAAATATAAACGAAGAAAAAAATGTATATAGGACCCTTGGAACGTACAAGAAGAATAAGACCAGGCATTTCGGAAGAGTAAGCGTATCCAGCTGCATCGATGACCCCCGCCGTGTAAATCTAAGTCAGATCTAAGTTATTGCTCGTCCTCACATCGAAAACTCGGGTAGTGATAGCAAAACCACAAGGCACGCTAATGAGCATTATATAACTATCGACTTTCATATTACAGAAATGACACACATCTCTGTGAAATCCTGCTGATCACCATATGATGAATACGTCGCCTTATTCTTCAATGAAGATGACTCAGTACCATCAATTGGCAATATAAATACAAGAGAAGACGCCTTATTTCAATTTGATTTTGTCAAGATAAGTTATCATGACATTACAATTGCAACGATTGCAAGGTAGCTACACACCACAATGAAACAACTACCTTGCATGGTCTATCGGAGTACATTGTGTTCATTACTATACATTACAGCAATTTATAGAAATAAAAAAAATACATAACGTTGATAAATGTGTCTACCTGAGTCCAACATTTGTTCCTATTTCAAAACGAACCATCAATATTACCACGGAACGAAAAAAGATTCACAACGCACTGCATCTACAGTGTATTTATCCCAGATAATCGATCTATTTTTTCTGAAGTTATCTCATATTTTGCAAACAAGTTGTTCTAGATCAAATTCCAAAGTGATGTCTTTATGGCCAATTTTTAGCTAGATATATATAACTTTCATTGGCTTAAACATTTATGTTCTCAGCCCATAACGTAAAAAAACCGAAGTCGCCGTTTGTAAAGTCGCTTTTGATTGGTTGACACAGCGGCGCAATATTTTCTAAGAGAGAAGAGCACTGAGAATCACTTAAGAGCGAAAAAATCAATTCTACGACTTAATCTACCTTATTATACCAGTAAACTTCAATTAGCATTGAATTTTACAAAACACAATCTAAATCATAAATTCATGACCGAACTTAATGACGTACCAGCTAAATAATCTATGAATGGCTAACTTAATGATGTACAATCTAAATCATATTTGCATTGCCCAAATTACGGAAACACTCTCCAAATTAGCGAAGCACCATTTAAATTTAAAAACCATATCCAAGTTATCGGGACATGGACCAGTTTTCAGGAACAACAACCAATTTTCAGGGACAACAACCAATTTTCAGGAACATAACAATTCAATAAGATTGTGCCTTTGTTCCCGAAAACTGGTCGTTGGCCCCCGAAAATTAAGTCGTTGTCCCGCTCACTCGCACAGCGGTATTCCCTTTGATGTAGCCGCGCTCCGGCGAAGCCCGTACAGGTGAGGCAGTCTATAGTCCCTGCCTTGCTGGCCGTGTTGTCGGTATAGCTATGCAAAGACGGTCGCTCTAATTCCGTAATCAAAACGATATAATAACACAGGTCGATAGTACACTTATATTTACTTCGAATGAAATAAATAAAGACCAAGGAAATAATGCTTATTTTGTACTACGGCCAGGGTTAGGATCGAAATGAACGACCATTTGAGAATAATGCATAACTTTTACCGTATTGCTGAACTGGTGCTTTGATACATCACTCCAGGGACACATGAAGCCAGTATATACGTCTCTGATCACTCATATAATAATCAAAGACACAATATGAACTCTCAATATTAACGATATTTAATGACGAACGATAAGTACGTCCCGATGTCGTATACAACTTATATTACGTAAACTATATCCCCCGGCTCCGTTCGGTCCGAGGTACTAGTTGTCCAGTATTTATTGATAAACTCGTGCAAATGATGAACCGATTGTGTAAATGTTCATAAACGAACCACTGTATATATATATATATGTTAAGACAGTTTACGTTCCTATTTTGCTTTATATACCTTTCAATCGTTTTTTATGTTGTTAATAGTTTTGTGATTTATATAATCCTCTTAGTAAGGAGATTCCCGATCACCTGTCCTCTCAGCTTTTAATTTCTATTGTATTTAACATAAATGTATTTTATTCATATTTTGGTGTTTTTTTAATCATTACTGATATAATTTCAATTAAATGGAACTTTATCTTTCCTGTACTGTCGTAAGAATATCCCTTCTGATTTAATGTTTCATGTTATAATATTTAAGGTTGAACTTTCTATTTAGTTTAGGTTATCGGGTGATAAAGAAAAAATAATTTACCCGGGTTCCATTGTAGTTATCACCCGATAACCTAAATTGAATAGAAAGTTAATCCTTATATTTATAGCCTTTTTCTTTACATAAAACGCGTCCATTTATGTCATCAAAGTAAACGTATGTAAATGAACACACAATCCAGCCGTCCTGTCAGTCAACAACGTGACGTCATCGGAATGTATGAATTTCAACAATGTATGTTTACATTTCAACAATGTATCTTTTGCATGAATACACTAATGAGTTACACATCTGGTATCCGAGGTACTCCTGTTAACTTCCTAAAACAGCAATGTAAGCTCCCGGGTTGTTGAAACTTCGAGTGATAATGACAATGATCTCCACAAAGGCTTTCATTAGAAAAAATACCATTTAAGTTACGTACACTTATGTGTTTAAAGTGAACGAAATTTTCGAAATATCTTGTTTCTTTATTCATTTAAAGCGAACTTAACCATTTCAGAAAGATAATGTGCATCCGTATGTCAGTTATCAAAACTGTATAAAGTAAAGAGAGAAAAAAAATAGAGCATTATTCTTAACCAGAGACGTTATATTACAATATATACGACTTTGGTGTATAGTCTAAACAGTTGCTCTCGTCTAACGAACCTGTGATTACTAAAATTTAGAACCTATGAAACTTCTTATATAAAAGGCTAAGCGTGATCCGGTTGTTAAATATATGAATTATCAGAATTAATATTGAATATTGTATTACCTGTCTTCAGACAGAGACATATAAAGCCGTAAGTAGTATATACGTTTCCGCTTCAGGTCAACCATGACAATCAGAATAATATATAAACTAAAGGTATTTTGTTTTGGTTTCCTTTCTATCATAACCAGATACCTTCTCTGTATTAACGTAATATATTAGGTATCAGTACATTTCACTCATAGTTCCAGTAGTATTAGTAATCATTATCAAATACATATATAGATAAAATATATTGCCGTGTGAATGATGTAATTGATATACAATATGTGTTAAGATAAGTTCTGTGCACTGATCTTACACGAAAATGGCACCGTTTCATTGGTTGATATACCTGTCAATCACGCGCGGTAGAGAGGTGGGCCCTCGCGATGATTGGTTGATGTTCTTGTCGATGCTCCGCTGTTGTTTGATTGACAAGAATATCACGGGCCGTAATTCTCGTCACATTCTGGTGCATGTACTCGCAGTGACATTTGGTATTTCTTTTTCTGTTTCCTGTTGTACAATATATTTAAACTTGAAAGTGACATTCGTTCTGAATTCTTTTTTAATTGGTGCAAGCATCCCATGCATACAATTTTATTATGAGAAAGTAGGTTTACTTTGTTTGTAATGTATAATCGTGCACAGAAACCTTACATGTGGATGTACATTGTATTGGACATGTATGTTGAAATTGTAGGTGTATAAATATAGCTGTTGGTCTGTATGAACTTTCTAACTAAGCATTGAAGGATAATTAAATGTAATCACTACTTGTAAGCGTCAAGGAAAAATCATTAAACTAAGGAACTGTGACAATGTATTATGAGAATTATCGGTGTTCATGTTAAAATATAATAGACAAAAGCAAATATTTATTTATAGGACTGTTTTGCTATTGCTAATACTGAAATACTTTTTTCCTGCTAACACAATGTTCAAATACTAAAGTGACATTTGTACTGAATTCGTTTTACTTAGCGCAGGCAGCCTGGTCCTCGCATAAAATGTTAGTGAAAAAGTGGGTTGACTTGGTATGTAATGTATAAAAAGCTGTATTTGACAAGAGGGTATAATTGTACAAGTATGTGCAAAATGTTGTTGAATGTATAGGTAAGTGGTTGTTATGAAAAAAACATGTTGATATGATTGATTGTACATACGTGTGCATGTTTATATGTTTGCAGGTAGGTTGGCCCAGTTAATTATTTCTTTAACAAAGGAAAAATCTTGTTATTTCATTATCTGATTAAGTAACCAGCAACCGACCGTGGAGAAGTTGATTTGTACTTTAATTTTTAAATCATAGTATACTGTAAAAGCATATATTTACGTTGGTGGTTAAATTTCGTTGTTTTGGATTTGGGACAAGTTCGTGGGGAAAATATTTCGTGAAATCAATATTTTCAAACCCAGTTATTTTATGTTTGACACCTGGACAATAAGACTTACCGTACATCGCCCGAGGTGATCACCCATCCACTCCAGGTGAAATTTTCACACCTCGCTTCACCCCAGTCA